AGAATCCAGTGAGAAAAATGAAATCAGCTCTGTCAATGTTTTTTTCCTCTAACTTTATTGAGCCATAAGGTGCTCTGGTAGCACATTGTAGTGCCTAAGGCATCTGACTGCTAGCCAAAAGGTTGGTAGTTCAAACCCACCAGCCACTCCCTGATAGCAAGACTGTGCAAGCTACTTGCTTTACCACCTCGGAAACCCAATGGGGGTTGCTATGAGTCAGAATCAACTCAATGGCAGTGTGTTTGGGTCTTTTTGTTGTTGTTGTTATTGTTTTTACTAAGCCATATTAGAAGAGGACACACACATACACACAAATCAATCTCAAATATTCATCATGCTCATGGAAAATCTGAAAAAGCAAACTGAACCAAAACATTCTTTACATGTGGAAAAGGAAAACAATTACTCACAAACCCTTAAATTTCTCAAGAAATTTTCACAAAAGGATAGGGAACAATGTCACACACTGCTTTCCCCTAGGGTTCAGAGGATTCAACTGAGGCCCCAGGGGGTAGGGAGCAGGACTTCCTGTAGGATAATCACTAGGGACTTTACAAACAGAGTTACCATAGAAGAATCCACAAAAGAGGACAGTTGACTATAATTGTCGCCTGTACAGTCATACACACCTCTTCAACACCCCAGCTCAAGACTTTGCCTAGTACTTCATAGGAAAGACAGAAACTGTGCAACAGGAACACGCACCCATCCCTGATGAAATCTCCCTACCTCCTTACATTGATCTAGCCCTCCGTCCTTTCTCCTGTCTAAAGGATAAAGTGGTCTGCTCCTGTCTGAGACCAGTGGGGACAGGTTCCAGAACTCATTCTTCTCACCTTCTCTACTCCAGCAATGGTCTCATGTCTCTCCTATTTTTCTATTCTCATGTATTTCCTACATCATCTAATTCTCCCTCTCTACTTGATCATTCTCATCAGAACAAGGCATGTTCTAGAATCTCCCACTAGAAAAAAAGAAAATCCTCCCTTAGACCCACATCTCTCTCCAGTTACCAGCTAATTTCTCAATTTCATTTCTCATTGAAAGGTTTGCCTAGACTTACTGCCTCCATTTCCTCAACTCATATTTTCTATTCCACCTATTACAGTCAAGTTTTCCTTTAGACTTTAGTGACCACTCATTTCCTAGGTTTTCTCCTACTTCTCAGCTTCCTTTGTTTTATTCCTCTTTGCTCACAACCTCTAAATGCTGGCATGTTCTAAAGCTTAGCTCATCATCTCTTTTCTGTCTATACTCTTCCTGGGCAAGATCATCCAATCCCTTGTCCTTGGATAACAGTTATAATATCCAAGTATTTCTTTCAGTCCTTTCTCTCTCCCCATGCTTCAGATTCATTCATCTGACTACTTGATAAATCACATCTCAAAGGTAACACAACGAAACATATCTTATGACTCCCCCCACCAAAGCTCCTCACCAGCTTCCCTTCTCAGTGGCCTGACCACCATCTCTCAGGTTTTCAAGCCCCAATCCTAGGCATCATCCCTGACTCTTCTCTTTCCCTCCCAGACCATATATCCATTCCATCCGGAAGGTCTGTAGACTCCCTAAACACAGCCTGAACCTGACTTCTCTCCATCTCCAGTGCTACCATCCTCTGTTAAGCCACCATCAACTCTTTCTTGGACTACAACAGCCTCCCACTTCTCTCCTGCATTCCTGCAGTTTCCACCTACTGTCCACTCTTCTCACAATAGGAGGAGATCTTTCTAAAAATGCAAATCAAATGGCATTACTTAAAAACCTCCTATGGCTTCTCACTAGGCTTAGAATAAAGTTTAAGAACTCCTTACCATGGCTCACAGAGCCCTACATCATTTAGCTCTCTCCTATCTCTAACCTTTTTTGTACCACTCTCTTCTTAGTTCACCATGTCCCAGCTACACTGGACTTTCTGCTCCTTGAACATGAAGCTCTTTGGTGCTTTAGGAGCCTTGATGGCTCTTCCCTCCTCCTGACATGCTTTTCCCCCTCATCAGCACAAGGATGGCTCCTTCCTGTCATTCAAATCTTACTTTATATGTCATCTATTCAGAAACACCATCCTTGACCTCCCAACCCAACTAAACCAGTTGATATTACACCATCTTATTTTAATTTTCTGCATAATAGTTACCACTATCTGTTTATTTACTTATTTTCTGTGACCCTGTTACCTAGATTGCAAGCTTCACGAGCACCTGATCTTTTTTTAAAAAAAAAATTTTATTGTACTTTGGTTTTTTTTTACAAATTTTACAGAGCAAAATTTGTTTTATATTCAACAGTTCATGTACATTTGATTTCATGCCTCAATTACCATCCCCAACCATAGGAAACTCTCCTCCCCTCCCCTCCCTGTGACTACCCCCTCCCTGTGCCCGTCTTAACTATGTACTCCTATCTGTCGAGCTTTCCCTCTATGTGAACGCTGTCCCTCTGGTGCCCCATGGCTGATTTCTCTAAGGGGTGTATCTCCCTAGAGTAGATGGGTGCATTGCCCTGGGGTAGGTGCTCTGAGTGTAGGTCTTTCTACTGTTGGGCTGAGAGCCAATCCATGGGAATGAGTCCAATTGTAGGCCCAAAGGATAACCCAGGGGCATAGTTTTGGGGTTCCACCAGACTCTTAACCAGTAATTTTGGTCATTTTTTGCTTTTTAATTTTGTTCCACATTTTTCCTCCCACTTATCCAGGATCTCCAGGTTTGATCCCTTTCTGAGTGTTAGCATTGGTAACTGGGCACCATCTAGATCATCTGATCTCGGGGTCCATCATATCATTGGACTAATTGTTTCCAGATGACTTTGCTTTTCTCCACTCTTCTTTGCTTCAGATGAGAGGAGACCAATAGTTGCATCTTAAATGGCCACTCAAAAGCTGTTAAGACCCCAGTCACTACTCACCAAAGTAGGTTGTGGAACAAGATTTTTATGTAATATGTTGTGTCAACTGAGCTTGGTGCCCCCCAAAACTATGGTCCCAAGTTGGCAGGCCTGATGATTCTCTCTCTCAAGGTGTATGGTTGTCTCTGAGAGGTTACTCCAACTCTGTCTTCTGTTGCTTCTGTAATGTGTGTGGCTAGTTTTGTAGCACAAGTACATATGTAAGATTATCTTCAGCTAAATCTATTCTTGGTCTAGGGTATACTCCTGTTTGCTGATCCCCACCTGATCTTCTCACTTGTCTATGCATTTATCTGTAGTCTAGTGTTTGGTGTTAGTGGTAATGCAGTATTTCGCATATACTATTATTTGTCTCTGTTGTCTATATCTTATGTACACTCCTCAGTGTCCTTCCTTCCCCCAGCGTCATTATGCTGGTCACAGACTCTTTCCATAGCATCCCTCCCCTCACCCAAATCAACAGGTGACCCCCAACTAGTCCGAAATTTTGCCTCCTCTTCCTTCCCATCCCTGGCAACCTACAAAGTGGGTTTCCTTCCCTAAGAAAATGTTTCCTTGAGTTTTTACAATGATGGGCTCATACAATATTTGTCCTTCTGCGATTGACTTATTTCACTCAGCATAATGCATGAGCTCCTAATGCTGCCTGACTCATTTCAGAAATCCCAATGCCTAGAAAAATGCCTGGCACATAAGTGTCATTTAATAAATATCAGCTGATCTAGTTATAAACCAGAGGGGCCCACTGACAGCAAAGTTCTGAGGGTTCCAGACAGCTCTTTCTCTCTCTCTCTCTCTCTCTCTCTCTCACACACACACACACACACACATACACAAGGCAAAGAGACAGGGTAACAGGTCCACAGATACTGCCCTTTTCTATAAATCTCTTCCTGCAGTATTTCAATCAACTACTACATGACTCGACGGCACATAACAACAACAACAACAACAACCACATGTGGACTCTCAGGCCAGAACCCAAACTGAGAAGGGAGGCCTGGGATTTTCTGGAAGGAACCATGACAGTTTCAAACATGCTGCTCCACTACTGACTAACAATATTTTCAAGTTGAAGAAGTGAAATCTGACTCACAGTCCCCAAAAGTACACCCAGGAATACCCAGACCACCAACCAAACTTTTGGCTGGTTCATTCATTTAGTGAACAAACATTTACCCAGTGCTTGCTCTGTGCCAGGCACTGGGGCAAAGGATCAAAAGCAGTTTCTGACCTCACAGTAAAGCAGACACTGGGAGAAACTCTGTGACACAGGCACATGCCCTGGGGCCGGGGGAGGGGCAGTGGTAACGACTGGTGTGTTAGAGTCTGAATGGGACCTTAACTTCTTACCATCCCTCGAGCTTATTTCTAGAGACTCAGCGTTCAAGGATGTTTGATAAAAACCTACCGCTTGACTGGCGGAGGCAGGAGGGAACTTCCCTGTTCTGCAACAGCTAACCAGACACCAAGTGTCGACGACTATCATTGATTGATCGGTCCGACCCCCCACCCCTCCCCAGAGGCCCTCACAAATGATGGGGGCGAGGATTGGAGGGAGTTGGGTGGGGTTACAACCTTCCCCCTCCCCGACCATCCCAGAGAACTGACCAAAAGGAAGGCCTGCCTAAGAGAGTTCCTTCGCCTCCCTCTTGGCCCGGACCTGGACTGAACTCCTTGTTCTATTCTCCCCACTCCAGCTCCATCCTGGTCCCGGCTCGGCACAGCCCCAGAACCCAGTGGGGAGGCGTGTCCGGTCCCACATACCCAGCACCCCAATCGTGCCTCATTACAAGATCCAGGGCGCAGAGTTTGCTGCCCCTGACCGCTCAAGGAACCGGATCCTGGACCTGCGCCCGAACTCCCTGCCTGATCCTCGCCTCTCTCCTGGAGCCCGCCACACGACTCCAGTACACAAAACCCCACACAAATGCAGCCGCCGCGCTGTGCGCGCCAACTCGCCCGCAGCCCGGGCGGGAGCGCAGGGAGGGCCGCGGGGCGCCGGGCGGGAAGCCGCCCAGCTCCCGGGCCGCACAGGTGCGAGCGCGGTGCAGCCCCCCAGGCCCCGAGCGGCAGCCGCGCCCCAATCCACTCACTCGATGAAGTAGCTGGCGCCCTCCTCAGTGAAGCCCTCTTCCCAGCCGCGAGGCAGATCTGCGGAAACACGCAAAAAGTCGGGTCCAACTCCGGCCGCCGCGGCGTGCGCCCGGAGCACCGCTCATCCCGCCAGCCCGTCACTCACCTGAGCGGATCATGTGGCCAGAATTGACTGGCTCCCCGGTGCGCGGGTGTAGCCAGGTTGTGCAGCGGAGCTGGTCGCTGAGGGGAGAGAGGTGCACCTGTTAGCGCCGGGGCCGCCCGGGGGCCGCCCGCCTGCCCGCCAGGCCCCTGGCCCCACGCCCCCGCCCTCATTCCCTCACTCCCGCGCCGCACTTGATGAAGAAGACGCGGCCGTCCTGGCACACGCCGTAGGACCAGTGCTCAGGTAAAGTGTCCCGCCCGACTGCCGCCGCCGCCATGTTCGCCAAGCCCGGAGCCGCGGCTGCCGCGGGAAGAGGAGGAGGAGGAGGAGGTGGAGGAGGGGGCGGGGCAGGCTCGCCCTCCGCGGGCCCCGGCGGCGCCCCGGGACGCTCCATCGCGGCGCGGGCTCCTCGGGGCACCGGCCCTCGGCGAGGTCCTAGGCGCTGGGAGTTCCGGTGCAGTCGCTGGAATTCGCTGCCGCACGGGCCGGCCTGCGCGCGGCTTACACGGCCTTTGTCCCCGCGCCTTCCCCGCCCCTGGCGGGTCGGCCTGGGCGCGTCCGCCGCGCGCCCCTTTGCCCCCAAGACCCGGGGGGGGGGGCGGAGGGACCGCTGCTTGGGGGTACTGCAACGGTCAGGGGTCCCACGAACAAACTCCAAGTACAGTGAACATCCCGAATGCGCAGTAAACCCCTCCCGACCCCCACAGAACTTCTCTCCCGAAAAGTGTACTTTTGAATCTTGCAACCCTAAAGAGGTAGCTTCTATATTCCGATCCTGTTTCTTCCTCTGTAAAATAAAGTGAATAACAAATACTACACGGGATTGTTGTTTGGATTAAATGAGATCAGTGATGTAAAGGACGTTAACTAAACCCCGGCACAAAGAAGATGCTCTATAATGCTAAGGAGCTCTGGAGGCGTAGTGCCTAAGGCATCTGACTGCTAATCAGAAAGCTGGCAGTTCAAACCCACCAGCCACTCCTTGGAAGGAAGATGGGGTGATCTACTTCCGTAGTGATACCGCCTCGGAAACCCAAGGAAGGGTCGCTATGAGTCAGGTCCGACTGGAGGGCAGTGCCTTGCGTTGTTGCGTTATAATGCTAGGACAAGGATGATTTCAATTTCCCAAATCTGCATCTGTGATAAGAAGGGGAGTGCAAGTCCTGCCCCAATGCCACACACACGCACAATCACAACACCTGAAGTTGCAGGAATCACAAGCTTCGACTCCTGTCAAGTAACGATAAAGGTGCGCTAAGAGCTGGCCTCTATCTTGTCCATCCCTGGAAGAGGGGACTAGTCGGGGCTCTGGAAGGCTCTTTACTCAGCTGACGCCTTCTTATATTCAAGTCTTTGCTGTCTTCGCATCTCCCTAGGGAGCCTTTGCCGGATCTGTTCAAAGGAGATCTTTCACCTCCTCCCTTCACTCCCCATGCCATTACTTATTTGCACATAATTGACATTCTTATTTCTGTGTGTTTGCTTATTGTCTTATATGTTGTCTGTTAGCACCCCACACACACACAAAGTTCAGCTGGATGAGAAGAGGAATATCATTTATTTCCCCAGCTCCTGGAATAGTGCTTGACTCACACGTGTATTCAATAAATGCCAATGAGTGGATGAAACACATTCCACACCAGAAGCATATCTGCAAAAAATAGCTCCTGTGACAAGCACTGAAATTGTGCCTCTGTCCAAATATCTGACACCCATCTTTTAGATAACTTTACTATAATACCAGCTCAAAAATACAAGTCAAACTTGTTAATCTTTTACTTAACACATTATGTCACTACATGAAAATTGCAACTGGACCTTCCTTCCTTTCACTGATGAAAATTGGTCTATGATGTGCCCAAAGTAATTTTTCTCTTTCTACACTCAGCAGAACAAGATCATACCGTCTGACTTGACCCATCAAAAAAGCTCACTGCCATCAAGTGGATTCCGACTCATAGTGACCCTATAGGACAGAGTAGAGCTGCCTCATAGTGTGTCCAAGGCTGTAAATCTTCAGGAAGCAGATTACTACATCTTTCTCACAGAGCAGCTGGTGGGTTCAAACCACCAACCTTTGGGTTCACATCTGAGAACTTTAACCACTGCACCACCAGGGCCCCTCCTTGACCAATGGAGGCTCTCAAATAGGAAATTATTAGGTAACTTGCTGAGTTTCTCACAGCTGGTGACAGAAACTGCGATGGTTAATAGAACCCACTCAGTGGCACCCCCCCTAGTAGTGGTGCCCAAGGCACAAGCCCTATCTGCCATACCTTAGATACACCTCTGCTCCTCACTAAGACACCTGCACACTGGATGGAGCAGGAAGGTGGGCTCCAGCGAGTGAAACGCTCAGACTTCCAGGAGTATAGGCTCTTGTTGGAGGGTAAGGCTCACAAGAAAGCAAGACTATTTGTATTGTGGGCACTATGTATTCGGGGAGACTTCTCAAAGAGGTAGAATTATGCTGGGGCCTGAAGGTCTGCTCAGATTTTAATGACCTCTAAGATATTAGACAAAAATGCAAGGTACAGAACTGTGTATGATATGTTCTTAATATAAAATCCCTAGATTAAGACACAAGAAACAGACTGATTGCTTCTGGGGAGGGAAACTCAGGATAGGGATAAGAGAAGGTTTACTTTCCCTTGTGTTTCCTTTTGTACTGTTTGATAGTTTTACCACTTAAAGAATATGTGTATGTTTAAAGGTAAAATAACACAATCAATAGATCCAATAAGAGATACTATGAAAATACCTCAATTAATGCCAAAAGACTTGTTTGATAAACCCAATGCCCATCACTGATGTTAAAAACTATGTATTAAAAGCTGAAGCAAAAAATAATGACAATATCAAATGCCTGTGAGTGTGCAGAGAGGCTGTATTTCTCATACATTTCTAGTGGGAATATAAAGTATTACAGCCACTCTGGAAAAAAGTTTGGCAGTTTCTTAAAAAACTAAACATACAGCTTTACCATATGACCCAGAAATGCACTCCTGGGTATTCATCCCAGAAAAATGAAAACGTAAGTCCCCACAAAAAACCTGTGCATGACTATTTATAGCAGCTTTATTTGTAATAGCCAAAAACTGAAAATTAAAAAACTATATCCTACAGTAGGTGAATTGTTAAACCGTGGTACGTCAGTACAATGGAATATTACTTGGCAGTAAGAAGGAATTAGCTATTAATACATACAATGTATGTATTACATTATTGGGTGGATATCAAAGCATCATACTGTGTGAAAAAAAGACAACATAAAAAGGTCACATACTATATAATTCCTTTTTATGACATTCTGGAAATGAAAAAATTATAGAGATGGAAAACAAATTAGTGGTTTTCAGAGGTTAGGGATGATGGAGGGGGAGTGGTGGGTGTGACTATAAAGGAGTAGCATGAGGAAGATCTTTGTGGAGATAAAGGTTCTGTATGTTGACTGCGGTTGTGGTTACACAAATCTCCACTTGTGATAAAATGACGGACCTAAATACCCACATGGTACCAATGTCAATTTCCTGGTTTTGATACTGTACTGTAGTTACATAACCATTGGAGGAAACTAAATAAAGGGTACACAAGACCTCTCTGTACTACCTTTGCAACTCCCTGTCAATGTATAATTATTTCAAAACAAAAAGTTAAGAAAGTTCTGTTAGGAAATTACAAATAAACAGGGTTTTTTTTAGGGTATCTCTCTCTGACCTACACATTCATTAACAATGAAACATTGAAAACACACCAATTAAATTAGAAAACAGAATAAATGCACCAATTAATGATGCAGTATTTAAAGTTGTTATAGAATTTCTGGCCAACACAATAAGAGCAGAAATAGTAATAAAAGGTTTAACTATTGGAAAGGAAATAAAATTATGTTTATTGGTAGACAATATAACACATTGCCTTTAAAAGCAGAGAACAACCCCAAATCTTAGAATTAGTAAGGGAATTCAGAACCATGGTAATATCACAAAACTCAATAGCTCGATAACCAGTTATTGGGCAGTTTTCCCATTACATGAATAACTTAGGAATTACTCTTACCAAAAGATATATGCAGGTGGCATAGTGCCTAAGGCATTTGACTGCTAACCAAAAGGCTGGTGGTCAAACCCACCAGCCACTCCTCAGAAGGATGGTTGGACAATCTACTTCTGTAGTGATACCTCCTTGGAAACACAAGTCGCTATGTGTCGGGTCCGACTCAATGGCAGTGAGTTTGGTTTTATATGTGCAAAACCTATACAATGTAAATTACAAAGCTTTCCTGAATGGTATATAATTTTTAACTTTTTATTGTGATTTGAGTGAAATTTACTGAGTGATATTTAATATTTAACAACTTTGTTTAAAATTTATATATATGTATGTATATAAAACTAGCAATAAAAACAATGCATGCACTCTATATGTCTTTTTAAAACTTAGAAATGCTTAAAATTACTATGTAACATCATAAATGAGCAACATCATAATAAATGGAGAAAATATTAAAGTTGTCAAAGATTTCATTCTACTTGGATCCACAATCAATGCCTATGAAAATAGCAGTCAAGAAAAAAAAAACATTCACCCAAATGACAATGAAAATTAAAAAAGGAAGGAAGAAAATTACATAATACATTGGGCAAATCTGCTGCAAAAGACCTCTTAAAAGTGTTAAAAAGCAAGAAATCACTCTGAAAACTAAGGTTTACCTGACCATGATATTTTCAATCACCTCATGTGCACCTCAAGCTGCACAATGAATAAGGAAAACTATACAAGAATTGATGCCTTTGAATTATGATGTTGGTAAAGAGTATTAAATATATCATGGACTTGCAGAAGAATGTACAAATCTGTCTTGGAAAATGTACAGCCAGAATGTTCCTTTTGTGTGCCTATAGAATGGAATACCCATCAGAATTACCTGGGAGCTTTTTAAAAATGTCTGGGCCTTGCCTCAGGCAATATAATTGGAGTTGGGTAATATTAGTACTATTTTAAATTTCCCAAGTGATTCTAATGTATAGCCAAGGCTAAGAAGCACTACTATTGACCCTAAGCAGTCATGCCTTAGGTAATTCTTTTTCATGGTTTTCATTCCACACAATTAAGGAAAGGCACTCTACAGGTTAAGAAGTGATATTTGATACTATTACATATACAATCCTGTAATAATAATAACAATAATTTATGAATGGATAAGTAGGTAGACAATCTGAACAGGAGTAGGAAGGTGAACGGGACTACTTCCACAAACATATTTAGGTTTGACAG